TTCTGACTAGAATTTGTTGAACGGCATTTTCCGAAATGGCTGTTGTCATGGCCCGGCAGCCAGGAGCCTTGTGTGTTATGTGAGCTTGGTCGGCATCATGATGTGCTTGAAAAGCCACCTTAACGCTTGGCTTTACGTTTGCGTGTTGGCGCAATGGGCGTCTTACAGCAGTCTCGGAGAAGCTGGAGCGTGGACAAAGCGTGGACAAAGCGTGGAAGAGCCATTTGTGAGCGTGGAAAAGCCATTTCTGGGAGTGGAACATCCATTTAGGGGAGTGGATAAACCGTGGACATCCCGCCAAATGCCACCTCAGCCTGAAAAGCACGCAAGTTAAAGTGACAAAGCTGAAGTCTACAGAGCTCAACTGCGCGACCTTTTCAAAGACAAAAGGCGATTCCAAACGAGCCTAGCTTGAACACGGGCTTGCATGATGGCTGGACTATGGCCGCGGTAGCTTATGTTCTGCTTATTGTCTAACATCAAGCTCCAGAAATGGTTGCGCAAAGCCACTGAAAACGCGGTTTTTTCTTTTTTAGGTCCTTCATGTCCTTCGACAAACAGCCAGGTCTCCAAAGGAGTTTGGAAACTCAGGGAGTCAAACTCAGTCCTGGTTGATGTGAGCTTGGGGCTTGTATGATTGCCAGCTTTGTCTTGCTTATTGGCCAACATGGTAGTCCAGAAATGAGGTCTTGCTTATTGGCCAACATGGGAATCCAGAAATGGCTCTTTGTAACCAGTGAAAACATGCATTCTTGCCACAAATGGCTCTTCGACAAACGGCCGTTTCTGAAAAGGCCTTTTGAAGTCTAGGGCGTCGATGTGCATGTTTAAGTCATGGACAAGGACGTTCGACACATCTTTGTTGTTGTGTTCTTTTTAGGTAAATGTACGAGTTCGTGTCAGCAATTTCACATATATCGCGCATGGAAGGGACAATTTATTCATTGTCATTTTTGACATGCGTGTTCATGTCGGGTGTGGTTGCTCCCAACTTCTATGACAACGAACACAGGCCGGTTCGTTTGCCATTGAAAGTTATGTTGATTGCATGGGGACTGGATTCCCTTGCCGATTGTGTGGTATTTCAACCGGGACTTCGCAAAGTTTCAAGTTTCAGAGTCTTGTCAGACCGATCCGCGGCAGATTCGTGTTTGTCCCGTTGTTTCGGTGGCTCTGTTGGCCCCGCGCCATGTACAATCAGAATCGCGGAAGGAGTCTTTTCCACCGAATCCTGGTGCAAGACTTTCTTGCTGAAGTGTGAACTGACAAGATCTTGGGGTCAAAGTCTCGAGAGAGGGAGACAAAAACTTCGAATGCAAGCGGAATATCGTCAAAGATGGCAGTCCTACTGCGCGCTCTATGGCAACGGGCTGAATGACCCGGCCAAGCATGATGAGTGCTTCCGGCCTCTTTACTCGGCTGCCCAGACCCTCGGGTGTGAAACACCCACGTCAGGCCAATGGTTTTTAAGGGGAACCCTAATTTTTTCTTCCCAGTCAGAGCCATGATGATGACCTGCTTCCGAGCTTGAACGCCCAAGTACCAAAAAGCTGGGTCCGGACCCATTGTCAGTTCAAACATCGCCTTTTCCAGCTGAAGAAGGGAGGCTCTTTTTGGGTTCCAGTCAAGCTGGGCACCTTCCCTCACCAAATACCCCGGCCTTTGTTCGGGCCTAGTTTGTCAGCTCTCCAAAGAATAGGATTTACCGGCAAACCTGGCTTTTGCACTCCCGAAGATCTGGAACCCACAGGGTCTCAGGATGCTCCAGGACCTGACAGGGAGTTGGGAAGAGAAGGCTCCCGTGGCGTGTTGTGCGGCTCAAGAATTTCAGGCCCTGGTTTGGGGGCAATTCAAGCCTTGGCAACTTGACTGGTTCCTTCAGCTTTCCGCCCGGAAAAGGAACCTGTGGACCCCTTTGAACCATGACCCGGGGTTTGACATGGGTTCCACACCTACATCTTGGTACCCGACCTATTGCTTGAAGCAAGTTTACCCAGAAAGCTAGCTGCTGCTTCTCGGTGTTCCAATTATTTTTCTGACAGAGCCCCAAAGTTTCCCTACATCAGGTAGGGCTTTTCTGTCTTAAGGCCGGGGTGTGTGATCCTCCAGGGTTCCAGAAGCTCTTCGGGGGTTGGGGATATCACCGCACTTTGTTTTGGTAGCTTCACCTTGCTGGCCCTAGTCGCAGGTCCAAGAAACTCAGGTGTTCGCAGGCCAGTGAACTGCGCCGAGGTGAGAGTTACTCACTTAAGCTGGAGTTGATCCGTGGCACCCTTTGTCCCCTTTTTTTGGGTGGCTGCCCCACTAAAAATGCTCTTCCCCGAAAAGGGTTTCCTTTTCCAGGGTCACTGAACAACTAAGTCAACGTTCCGTTCGGTCTCATGACCATGAGTATCTTGTCCCTGTGGTTGACATGTCGTGTTTGTTTGTTTCCCCAATGGTCATCCCATAAAGGACCCTTTGATCAACCCGCATGTGCACTGCCCAGCAGAAGGCACTTTAAAGTGGAAGCACATCCAGAGTTCGACCCTCGCCAGTGGCTTCACGAAGGGTTTCCTGGACTACTTGGGCGACATCGCGGCGCCGCTTCAGCTGAACGTGGAAGTAAAAAAGAAGCACGGGGCAAAGTGTTCTTATCCTTCGGCGACCCCTAAGAACTTCCCTCTAGGGTTTTGGCCCATTTGAAGCATGGGCTGAGCCGGGGGAGGGGGTTGTTTCTCCGGACCCAGTGCAAGGATTTCCGGGTTTGGCTGCCGGGTGTGCCTCGGTTTGTCCCCGCGCCGTCTTGTCACTTGTACATTGGGATACATTGGGTTCTCCACTCGCTCCACGCGCTCCACTCGCTCCCTGCCTCACACGCTCACACACTCACACTCACCCTTGCTCTCACTGGAGCGGGCTGCCAGAGGGGGGGGGGTCCCCTGTTTCCGCTTCCGATCAAAACAGCTGGAGCCCCGCAGAAGCCGAACAAAGGTCAACCAGTATTTTCGGATTTCCCCTAAATCAGCAAACAGGGGTATCCGCACATAGCCGCCCTTTCTGTATGTTTGCCTCTAGTTGTTTGAGAGGGTGTGGCAAGCCTCACTCCTCATCCTCCTTATTGTCTTGGTGGCTCCCAGCCATCCCCTTTTAGTGTTTAGTGGTAGTTTCCATTTTACCCACGAACAGTTAGTCACTTTTGGTGGGGGATCCGAAAACGGGCAGCCCAGTTTTGAGAAACGTCCCTTTGAGCCATGTCCGTTTGTCCCAAGGGAGGGCCTCGGCTTGGCAGAGTCCGCGGAGACGATGAGCGCCAGGCGCAGCTCCGCAACTTGAGAACGCCTGGGGGCATGTGAGCCACGTGCTCAAAACCCTTTGGTAGATGAAGGTTAGCAAGGGACAATCCCCTTGCCATAAATAGCTGCGGATATCCGCCTTCTTAATTCTTTACATGGTTCTGCGTCGACCATTTTAGTACCGGGTTTTGATTATGACTCATGTGTACCTGTTGCTTTGTATGTTATTGTGTTTTGTTTGTTTGTTTGTTTGTTTGTTTGTTTGTTTGTGTTTTTGGGGGGGAGGGAAAGTATCCTTGTAGTGTCCCTTCAAGCCAACCATTGGGTGCGCGCCACTCAACTCAGCAGGTCTGAGAAAGCCTCATGGCTCCTTTCGCGGGTTCCAGAGATCACCAATGTCCAGCTTCAGGGGCGCCTCCCGGTGGAGTGATCTGATCACAACGGAGTGGCACCGCTTTCCATGCAGATCAATCAGCCCCCATATCATCCCCAGAAAAAGCCAGCAGAAAAAGGGGCGGAAGGCCGGGGTTCGTAATTGGAGGGTTGGTGGCAGTGAAAGCCCTTCATTGGCTTTGCGTGCCAGCATCGTCCTTCTTTTTCCCGTTGGTAAAGCAAGAGACCTGCCCCCCTTGACAGAATAAGCAGAAGGGAGCATCTTCAGCGGTGGCTATTTGCCATCGTCCAATGCTTAAAAGTTCATGGCCCTTTGTGGCCCTTGTTCATTACAACCCCCTGCCAGCAATAGTCGCTAAAACGGTGTGTTTGAATCCAGGAATCCACGCAGGCATCCTTTAAAGCGCACCCCATTTGTGGATTTGCTATTTGCTCACCCATTCACCAGCACTGGGGCCCGGAATCGGCTTCAAACCTGTAGGGCCCCGTCGGCTCCCTCTCTCTTTCCTCTTTCGTTTCCTTCTCGTTCTCATTTCTCTTTTGTTCCCTCGCTGTCTCGCTCGCTTTGCTCTCTCTCTCTCTCTCTCTCTGTTTATCGCTCTTTCTCCCTCGCAGAATTCCACGTGGCTTTTAGGGTCAACCCACTAGAAGCCCTCAGAGGCTTCACATTTCAATGGTTGCGCAAATTGAACACATGAAAAACCAACAGTTGTGTGAGGTCGACCCCCGGATGTCCGCAGGGGGCTGCGGGAACAATGGTCGGCTGCCAATGAGGGCCGTGTTGCTTTTGGTATGGCTGTTGCTGATTAGCTTCATCAATCCAACAAGCCAGCGCAGAGATTGAAGCAGCAAGCTGAAGTTCGGAAGCTGCAGCATGTGCTGAAAAGTCATTTCAGCAGATGACATGGTTTCAGGAGCTGCAGAGGAACTGGGTCGAAAGCATGGTCTTTTTGGTAGCTTGGTAATGTTGACACATTACACAGGAAAGTGGGGTGAAACATGCGGACCGAGCCATGGCAGTCAAACAATTTTCATAGTGGCGCTCTGCTGCTGCAGGGCCGGAGCATGTGTGAAAATGATGCAGGGCCGGCACCTGGTGTAGCCCGCGTACTATGAGCTTTGCTTGAAATATACGCAGCCTTTGCACGGGTGGTGAACACTTTGCATAGCCCGCAGGTAAAACACATTGTGCGCAGTTCATCATGGTTTCGTAACATGTTTGCGTATAGTATCTCACGCTCTCAGGGAACCCATTGGGTTGCCCTCGAGGGACCCATTTGATTTTGGTTCTTCGGCGCTGGCTCCATGGAATCATTTGCTTTTCCTTGGGAGGCCAGTGCCATCATCGAAGCGGAGGAGAGTGGAGGAGCCAATCGAGGACGCGCGCCGGATGTTTCGGAGACGCTGAGCTTTAGACTTCCCTCAGCAACGATGGCATCGCGTCAGAAAAAACCTGGTGTTCACCCAAAAGTACCAGCCCATACCTGTGAGGTGGTATGCACCACTAGACTTTATCTGGGGTCTCCTCCAAAACATGTTCCTTTTAGGGTTGAGCAAATATGGAACAATGTCGGAAAATAGGAGTATGTGTGTGTGTGTGTGTGCCCCTCCTTTGTGGGCCAAGTTATGTGTTCAGCCATTCGCTATGGCTGAATTCAACGAAGCCAGCCATGGTGGCCCGCCCCATGGATTCACACAAGCGGCCTTGAAAATCGGGGGTGGTGGGCAAACGGCTTCTGACCTTTCCTGTCTCATTGTGTGCCGCTTTTATTCAGAGGCAGACTGTTTTCGTCCCTCTGGCAATTTTAGACCCCTTGCCAGGTTCCGGACGGGCCATGCTTGATTCACCCCATGGATGCTCTCAGGGGTTTGGATTTGTCTTGACCGTTGGTTCAGCCGCCAAAAATTGGGGCCAACACTAACAAATCGACAGCCCCTTAGTCTGTACAAATCGACAGCCCAAAGCTCGCCAGCCGACTCAAACGGCTGTGTCGATCGAGGCGAATCAAACGGATGGGGCCCCTGAAGATGGATGCTCGCTGAACAGCCGCCAACCTATGGGTTGCACGCACGTGCCTGCCTCAACATACGTATATAATATGTATATATATTTATATATACACATTATATGTCATACTCAAAAACCCTGAAGTAATTACTCAGGTTTCTGACCAGACTGAGCCTTGGGGATGACAGATGCCTTGATACTCTGAGATGAAGTGACAGGATGTGAGAGATGTGCTTGAGAAGCAGATTTGAAGTGCACTTTGGCAGCTCCAGCTCAAAAGGCACAACTGTTCAGCACAAAAGTAGTGCGCGAAGTACACTTTGGCAGCCTCAACGTGCCTCTGCTCCGCTATTTGTTTTTGGGGGCCGGGAGAATCAGCAAATTATCAACTTGCGAGGCAAAGGAACTCATTCCGACTCGCAAGTGAACTCCAACTCGATTACAAATTCATGTCCTCGCGCAGCTGCAATTTCTCTTTACATACCTCCATTTACATTCTAATTAAGTTTTACTGGAACAGTTTGCAAATCAACTATCGCAGTTACTTTGTCAATAACATCTAATGAACCTCAAGTATATAGTATAGGGAACATCCCCTTTAAAAAACCAAATTCAAGCAACATTCGTCTTTGTTTTGGTTGTTCGGTTCATCTCTTGGCGCAAAGAGCTGCAGCTGGCATTGCCGTGTGACAAGTTCGGTTCGAAAAGGGTTTTCCGCTAGAACTGAGCCACGCCAAGAACAGGAAAGTTCCCCCAGTAGTGCCCTTTTACCAACTTCTTTGGGGGATGGCTCCCCTACCAAAATAGACTACAGAAAGAAGTTGGTACCGTTATTCTGACCTCTTTACTGGAGGACCTAGGTTTTAGTCAACACGGATTCGCGGCTCTTGGCATGCAAGGCTGTACAACACAGTGTTTTTCAGCATTTGCTCAGGTCGTGTTGCCCTGGATCGAAAATGAGTATTCAAGATTCCCGTAAAGCTTTATAGAACTCAATCCTGGCCAGCCCCCAACCCCACCTCAAAATCTTTAAAGTTGTTTCAACAGTTTTTCCCACCAGGATTGAACATGGAAGATCCACCAGATCCAGGGGTTGTGTTTGATAGTCTTACAGCCAAGCCTCCCAAACTTTGAGGTTTGTTCAAAAACATGTTTTTCCCCTGGCACCATGCAAGTTGACCTCATTGTTATGCTTGGAAAATGCACACCTTGTTTGCCTTTTGGGATTCTTCAAATGCATTCATAGGGCAGTCCAAGATGTGCTAGCAAGCGCATCCTGGATCGAAGTCTGAAGATGAAAGCACTGCTGTCCTCCTAAAATGTATGCTTCTTGAAATGCTTTTTTAAGACTTAAAACTTGGCATGGACACTTAGGGCAACCCAGGATGCGCTAGCGCTAGCAAGTGCTAGCACATCCTGGATTGAAGATTTCCAAACAACTTTTCTGCTAATCTCCAACCTTCAGTCTTTAATCCAGAATGTGATAGCGCAGTGCTAGCGCATCCTGGATTGCCCCAAGTATGGACCGAAGATTCTCAGAAAAGTTGTCTGAGAATGTTCAATCTTCAATCCAGGATGTGCTTACACGTGCTAGCACATCCAGAATTTAAGTCTAAAAAACATGCATTTTTGATCCATCATATGTTTTTAATGAGGACACCAGTGCATTTCGCCTGCATGTTTACAGCAAATATGGCACAGCCTGGTCAGAAGCCCGAGTAGTCGAGGGGCGGGGTGCCATATATATATATATATACATAGAGAGTATGATATTATTCTGCGTGCATACATTATTTATTCATTTCCGCTGGTGCACAATTTGAGTGGCGAAACATCAAAACGGACGCACCCAGTCTCCGGGAGCTCGAAAAATGAACCTTTTCGCAGGCGGCGCCTCCCGAGAAGACGGCTCTGGTGGACAAAGTCAAGGCTCGAGAACTGACCGAACGGCTCACTTGGTACGCGATCTTTCTATGACCCCGCAAAAAACGTGGTGAGCTGTTTGCCGGGGAATCGCATTTTGTCCAACCAGCGTGCAAGGTTCAAGATCCAAGAATAGCCACCAAGTTTGTGGCTGGCTGTGTCTTGTGGCATATGTGTTGCAGTTCTATTTCTTATGGTTGGCCTGTGTTGGCCTTTGCCTAGTTTCTGTGATTGGGCAGCTTCCTTTGTTGGCCCGCCTTTCCCCAACTAGCTGAAGATTTGGGGTCCCTGAGTCCGGTCTTTGCCCAAATGGCCTCCGGTGTGCCGTGGGGCAAAAAGGGCTAGGGTTCCGGAAGGGTTCAGGGCTCGCAGTTGGGGATACCCATGGGCACGGCCATTTCCTTGCACGGATTTGGGTCGACGCCCAATGGATTCCCAATCCTTTGCACTTGGCAAACGCCTTGCCCCGCGTTCCCCTTTTGAAACCTCAGTTTCTTTGCAACCTGATAGACTCACCTCACGTTTTTTTCTCATCTCGGATTTGGGCCATGGTAGCAGCTTTAAAGGTTTGGGTGCTTTTTGGAGCGGCAGACGTGAGTTTCTTGGCCAGACGCTGCAGCGGACCAGCCCCGAGCTGAAAGAGGCCTGGTGGATGCCGGAGCCTGAGACCGGTGGACCGCGAAAAAGTTCTTCGCGCGCGGCGAACTTGGAAAATGCCGCCGATCCGTGCCCCAGTTGCCCACTGGGGTGCCATTTTTCCTTTTTGTTTGGGGAAGGGTTCCCCTTTAAGCTCAACCAACGAAAAAAGGGTGCCCTTTCTTCCCATGGCCACTGGGCATCTGAGATGCTCAAAGCATGTTTGCCCAAAATGGCCCCTTGGCCCTTGGTAAGTGGAAACAACGACTGAAAAGTTGCGTAAACCTAGTTTTTGAGTTTCGAGCCACACCCAAGTGACTAAACCAGTGTAGATCCTAGATGCGACGTGCAAAAAAGCCCAGGGGAAAATCAAGAAACCAGCCAAAAGGCAGACCCCTGAGAAAGATCCACGCGGACGGCATCGCACCTGCGACTTGTGCACTCCAAACGCCCACCAGACAACCCGTTTTGCTTAAGAGTATGTGATTTTTCCTCTGTCGGTAAAGGGAAACGATTTCACTACTGGAAATATGTCCTCATGTGTTCCAGTGGACTCTATTGCAAATGGAAGGAACTTGTCCGAAGTTATGCGCAAGGTGAAAACCTTGTCTCGCGTGATGCTGGTTGGCGCGTTCCCAAGAACGAGCCCAAAGTCCTCAGCACATATCTTTGGCACGTGCACGCAGCGACTCCACGCTCAGCCCAGGGCAGGCCGATAAGCAAATGAGGATGGGGGATACTCACCAAAAACCCTGTTAGTTGGGGACGCAATAAATATTGACCATGCCTGACTGAAGCCAAGACCACCCTTCAAGATCCAAGTGGGGGTGATCTGGCATCGCAGCCGGTAACGCTAACAAGTCTTGGGAATCAAGCTGTGCAAGACACCCCTACAACCACACGCTTGGCTTAGTTGAAAACACACGGCCCTATTTTTGTTTTCTGGTCTGGTAATCGTCTAGCAGTGCCATGGATTTGTTCATAAAGGACACCTATGCCTACAAGTCAATCCGATCGGATCCTCAGGCCAGGCCCGAAGAATCCTCGCTCGATTCTTCGATCTCTTTTCAACCATCGCTTTGCTTGTCTTTAGAAACCAACATTGTCGGGACCCTGCTGTTTGATGGTTTCTTGCAAACAAGGATCCTTGAAACAGAAATAAAGGGGAAGCTTCCAAATTCGAGAGGCATGCTGTTGGTGTTTCCTTGTTCTTGCACCCAAAACGCCCCCCCCCTTGGATGTGTCGCAAAAACGCATATGCTGTCCTCGCATCCAAAAAAAGGGTTGCTCAACAGTTGGATCTTGATGACTTGCATTTGTCTCAAAATTCGGGAGCCCTAAAATGGCGCTTGTCCTTTAGGTTTCCCCTAAAAGCCAAGCAGGAGGGTTCCCAAAAAAGACGCCCATAGCCATGATACCGCGTGTTCAGGCTCCAGATCTTGGAAGTCGAAACTGCGACAAACAATCCAAGGGGATCCCCTGCTCTTTTTGAAACACCAGTAGGGTGTGTCTTTCTTTGGATCATCCCCCCCCCCCCAACAAAAAGAGGCACAATACACAAACATGGCGGCTTGCCTTTTTGCCGTCCTGTTGAAACCGTGCACAAAAGGGGGGGTGCCAACGTCCAAAGAGGCGAGCCGCCCATGCGGCCATGGCTCAAATAACCCTGTACCCCTGATAAACATCCCAATCCCCACTACAATAGGTTCCAAAATGGGTGGTGCACCTTAAAATGGACCAAAATGGGTGGTGAATTCACCAATCCCCCAAAAATGGGCTCCCAAAACGGTTTTGACCCCCACAGCCATGTGGCCTCCACCAAATCCACCGCCCGAGGTTCTGCGACACGCAATCCGCGGGCATGAAGGACCCCGGGCGCCACTCCGTGGAGAGCCTCGAGCAGCTCCTCGGCGATCGAGCGACGCGCGGAGCGCTGGTGGACGCACTTGGCTGTGGTGGTCAATAGGGTTACCCCCAAATGAACTGGTTGCCCTGGTAAATGGAAAATGACAAAAACCTCTGGTCCATATCTTGGTGGTGAATTCTGACCCATACCCACTTTACACCTTTTTTTTCCCTGGTGGCTTGATTTCGGTGGTGGCCCAAAAAGTGTACACTTTTTTTTTTGGCTGGCCACTAGCCAAGTGAGTTTGCGCTCCGGCCGCCCCGTTTTGGGCAGTCTAGTGGGGTGGAGTGTTTTTTTGTTGTTTTTTCCCCCTAGGGATGGTGTGTTTACTATTTGGCAGTCTAGTGCTCAGTTGTTCAGTGTCAGTGGCACCCTGTTTCCCCTGTTTTTGTGGTGGCCCGACTAAAAATGGCCTTCCCCTCAAGAAGGGCTCCCTTTTTTTCTCCAGGGTCTCTGAACAACTGAGAGTGGGGTGGAGTATTTGTTGTTTGCCTGGGGATGGTGTGTTTACTATTTGCCAGTCGAGTGGGGTGGAGTCTTTGTTTTTCCCTGGGGATGGTGTGCTTTTACTAGGGCTGCTCTTTCAGTTGGGGGGCTTGTCCGGAAAAAGCTCCTCTACCTAGCCCTGGTTCGGTGTTCAAACAACGTCAGGCATATAGGTTATAACCATAAGGGCACGTCAGGGGCATTAGAACCATCGGACGAACCCCAGTTGGTCAAACCCAAGTGGGCCCCAAGTTTGAAGGAAGGTCCCTTATCGAACAATTACCCAAATGCCAGGTGATTTAGAGCCTTTGTGAAGGCGATGTGTGGAAATCTCCTTGAAGGAACCCGGGCCAAGAGTCGGGGGTTAAGTGACTGAAACTCCCTTTGAGCGATTTAGCGACCAATTTTGGAGGATGTCACTTGATGAACCCAGCAAGCTAAGCTGCTCAACCATTGGAGACGTTGGTCGCAGGCCAAAAGCGGGGTTTTTCAGGCTTACTGGTCTGAATACTTGATTTGGATAGAAGCACTCATCCATGTTTTTTCTTCAGGCCATCTCGCTTTGGATATGGAACTCAACATGGGTTGCTATCCTGTGCTTAAGCTGCCATCTTGGTTCCCTGGTGGAGCCATCCCCTTGATTTCCCTCAGACCGAATCAGGTCCAGGTGATGGGACCTCTTTTGCCCCACATCGCCAACTCCCAAAAGCCCAAAAGCCCCCCTCACTTCTCTCAAATCTTCAGATTTCTTGGGCACATTGCAATATCCTTTTTGCCAGTCGTAATTCTCCATACTCCAAAAGGCCCAGCTGCTTTCAGTTGGTTCTTGCTGGAAACTCTTAGGCGTCCTTAGATTGGGTCCCTACAGCCCAGTTCCACTAAGACCTTGCCAAGAGGAAGCCTTGTGTTCCACAACCCCCCTAGACAAAGTATTGAGTACAGTATTAAGCAAGCCTCAATCGGAGGTTGGGATTAGTGGCTTCGGGATTTGAACCGTTCTTGAAGCCAAAGGATATACCTCCCCAACAATTTTCAATCAGTCAGTTTTGCAGGGGTAACCCCAGCCCTCCCCATTGGAGCGAGCGGCCGGCGAATCTTTCGACATGCCAAGGTTCCTGGCGACCCACGGGCAGTAGTCGCCAGCCCGCGCGTAGGCAAGTTGCCCCCGACTGGGCAACTTGTGCAATTCAAAGTTTACCTCAGTTGCTCAGTGGCTGCACCACTAAAAATGGTCCAAGCCCCAAAAAAGGGTTCCCTTTTGTTTCCAGGGTCACTGAACAACTGAGTTACATTCTTAAATTATGCTCTGGTTTACAATGTTTACACTCCATCAGAACCCAAGCTTTACATTTAGCCCATGCACGACATGAGCTCTACAACATCTTTGGTGCATTTTGCTTGGATGTTAGGGCTTTGACTTTTTGCCAACTAATGGGTTTTCCATTAAACCACTAGAAGTTAAACTTTTGGCAGGGGAGCAGAAAGCAAGCGAGATATGATCGAACAGAAGGGTAAAGTAAGACAGTGAGAGAATTGGGCTGCGGCCGGGCGCCGGGCGCCGGCGAGGCATGATCTTGCGCGGAGAACGCAAGAAACCTCGCACAGATTCGAGGTCAAAAAGGCGCAAACCATGGCGCCTTGGTGTTGCCTTGGAAATCAAAACCGCTCATCCCCTCCCAACGCTATCAAACGCTTTGTTGAGTGACCTTCTTTGGGTTATGTCCCATTGACCGGCGTTCTGGGAGAGGGGGATGGTTGTGGGCATGACTCGCACTTGGCCGCTGCGCCAGCTTTCACCATGAGAACATGAGGCAAACGAACATGAGAACTCAAGTCTGTGCCGGCAACACGCCGCGATGTGCAGATCAGGACTCCTGTCATGTTCCTTGCCATTGCTTGTATGCCAGTACCCCTCGTCAACACCCACGCAAACACAACCAACAAGCAAACTGACTACTTGCAAATATTTGAACCACACAGACATCAGAACCGGTTGCCAACACATTTGTTTTTTTCTTTCAAGGAAAGCAAAGGGCATGTGATGGGTAAGTGTTTATTTTTCTGGAGCCGCTATTCAACCAACGCTGGCCACGCTTTCACGTGGCCCTCAGTCGCCATGGCGATGCAAGCATGCCAGCTGTAGCTTGCAGTTCCACAGCGCGCTCTGGGGGCTGTGTGCCATACATGTTTCCTCAAGTTTTCGCTGCAACTCCGGCCGGGGGGGCGGGGGTCTGGCTGCTGGCTGGCTTTGAGGGCAGCCGTAGCTTCTAAAGTCAAAGCGCAGCCTTTGCGTGGTTTTCCAAGTCCACACTGCTGTGCCTGTTGTGCACTGACGCAGGAGCTGGCCGTTGTAGCGCAAGGTGCATGTTATGCTATTCGTCTTGAACATTGCGGTGCGATCCGCTTCCATCATTGAGGCTCCGCGAGCTAGATCTTGCGAAGCCGCCACGATGACATGCCCTACTTGCTACCCAGGGTTGCGCGCAGCAGTGACGCCTTGCGACAGAACCCACCATGCCTTGGCTTGGGTGTTGGCATTGTGTTGGTTGAATCTACCCAGTGTGTGCAGAAGGAATTGGGGCTGCCAGAAAAGATGGACAAGAAGCCCAGTCGTTGTCTATATGCATGCCTTATTCATGTGGGCCGTTGTTGGTCCTTTTGGTTGCCTCAAAAAGCGTGCTCAAACGCTCCTTGCTCGCCGCAGAGTATTTCATTTGCCAGATCTCGCGGGCAGGCGCGGCGCCGGTACAGATTGATTGACAGGCGCAGCGCTTTCGCAAGATGTAGCAAGGTCAGTTTTCGTGGCGGGGACAGAATTCGTGGGAAGCGCAGCGCTTTGAAAAGACGGAGGAATATACCAAAATAAGTATTCGATAGAAAGTGAGATGAATAGACAGATACATAGAAAATACATAGATAGATTAGAGAGATAGATGCATTCGATAGATAGACGGACAAACTTGGTAGATAGATAGATGGACAGATAGATAGAACAGCAAGAGGAAGAAAGAGAAAGCGCTGGCAGGGACGCCTTGCCTGCGTGGCCCGCGTGGCCAGGGGAAGCTCTCCTCAAGCAGCAAAAGAAAGAAAGAAAGAAAGAAAGAAGGAAAGAAAGAAAGCGAAAGCGGAAGAGAAGGGAAAGGGATAGAGTGGGAAGAAGAAAAAGAGAGAGAGAGAGAGAGAGAGAGCGAGCAAGCAAAAGAGAAAGACACAGAGAACTGTTGTCCTTATTTTTTTAACCCGACCGCCCAACGGGCTACGCCGGATTTGGTGGCATTTCCCAGATCAGAGGCACAGCCTTCGCAGGGCGCCAAGGGAAACCCTGGGTTTGTTTCTCGGGTTCCAAACGCATATGGGTGTGGGTCAAAATTAAACGACTAGGATATGGACCGCAGGTTTTAGTCCATGTTTCCATTTAGGGTTCCATTTTGGGCACCTTTTTTTGACCCACAGCCATATTCCGAGCAGGGTGTCGACATCCAACTCGCAAACAGAGTGGCTTCCACGGGTTTGCCCCCACACCACGTGCCAGCGTCGCACCCGTTGCCCTGCCCAAACAGGTTCACCTGCGTAAAGAGCTTTCCAAGAGTGTTGAATCAACTCGGCTTGTCTTGTAGGAAAACCCCTTTCATTTGTGTGCAGCTCCTTTTTATTGTGGAAGAGGAGACAGGCAGGATTATCGCGCGCAAGTCTATTTGTTCAGGCCTTGATGGAATGTATGGTCAATGGCTTGCCAACTGCTTGGATCGTTTGCGTGGTTTGACTGACAGTGTAATCACGATTGGAGGCTGAGAGTTTTTGTGGAACTGCCCGATGGTATTTGGCGCAAGCGGGTTGCACACAACTGAAGGCAGTTGACGTGCGAAACATGAAGACAATGATGGCTTCTGCTGAGAACCGAGCGGTTCACCTGCACGGAGTTGATTTGACTTTGGTTGGCTGGCTTATTCAAAGAAATCTGCATTTGTGTGACTACTTGAGCGACTAACGGAACAAGAAAGCATCGGAACCCGTATACCTGGCACAGAGTTGCAGGAATTGTGTCAATGCCAAAGCCGTGATCCAAAGGCGCAAGATTGTCCATGTATCTGCCCCTTCTGGTCCCCCATTGCCTCGGTTTGGTTCTCTTAGCATCAGATCAAAGGAAACAGAGGAGCTGATGCCGCGAGTTCCCTCGCAAAGCTTCAGTTCTATGAGATCCGACAGAACCTAGGAACACGCACACGAGATGCTAGTCCATCGTCCATGAGTGGTCCCAGATATTCGACCACCGGAGCCATTTCGCAGAGATGGCTTTGGTTTGGTCATGTGGCCAAATTTGCCGGGAAGAGGCAAGTGTCAAGAAAGTGGCAGCCGTACCATCGCAATCACAGAGCCTCAAAAGAACACACAAGAGCTTATATACCAGCATCGTCGTTGAAGAATGATCCTAGATATTCGGCCGACGCACAAGCCAATCCTTGTAATTGTTCAAACTTTGCCAATTGCGAGATAGTGTCAGCGCGTGAATTCTGTTCTACGCAGCGATCGCGAAGGACGAGCTGCTAGGCCAGGCTCGCCCATGTATGATCAAGTTGCTTGACAACCGGCCGCGCAAATTATTTTTAGGGATGCCACTGGTTCGGTGGGGGTTGGTCAAAACTAGTGACCTTTGTTGGTATCCCTTTGAAGGGCGGCACGCAGCACGCAGGTCAAAAACGAGGCCATCTTTTTGACATCAGGAAGCTGCCTGTGCAAACCGTGAGGTATGTTTCTCCACGCCACACACCCATTTTGTTTGCCATCTCTGTGCCCCGCATGGATTTGGTTCTGAAGAAGGGGCGGTCAACGTAAACATTGAGGAAATTCCGGACTAGGTTGCAGCTTTGCCGGTCTCACGCAAATCCCACAGGCCAAAAAACATTCAACAATCGATTTTACGATACGCTGCCTTCGCAAATTCAGCCAGCACGGTGAAGCATATCTCAGCTCCTCTACAGTTCTTGCCAGACAGCCTGCGTTTGCCGGCTTTTGCACCACGGTGTTGGCGGTTCAGGCCTCTTAGGATAGCGCCGTCCCATTCAGTAGCGGCAGCAATTGTGGCAAGCCTGGATACCGCGCTGGTGTTGCCATCAGAGGCCGACCTCTGCTTTCGGTCCGTCGCGCATGCTGAACAACTTGCAAGAGCTTTGCCTGCGCGCAGTTGCGTGTGATGCCAGTACGGAGCGCTTCCAAGCCAAGACGTACCCATTCTGCCTGACCTGCAGTTTCAGCAATCTGACGCCTTGACACGTTGCAGTGGTTGAACTAGGTGTCATTGCGGCCGCTGATGTTGATTCAGGGCTTGCATGATGTGCCTTTGAGGCACTTGTGAGTGCGGTATCTCCTGCACCTGCAACTGTACTGCCAACAAACGCATTGCGACAAGCTATGTGTACAAGGCATTTCTGGCAAACTCAGTTGTTTTGTCCCAGTACCAGCGCCGGCTGAGCTACCTTTGGTAAAGTGTTCATTTCAAGTTCATCTCATGTCGGTACTTGCGCTACAGCCACTCAACTGTTGCCGAAATATGCGAGTCTGTGAGAATGGCACTGGCCGGGCAAGTAGTGATTTAGCTGGAACCGTCCGACTCCAGTCGGAAAGCGACTGTGGCTGGGTGGTAGTTTGTTGAGCTGGCAATCATGTGCTGCACGAGCTGTTAGAGCCCCGTCCGTTTCATCCGCTCGCTCCCGTTCAGCCAAGAAGCGTCTAAGCATCTTTTCCAAGATGCTTCACCGACCTGCTCCAACTTAGGCGTCTCAGCTCTCTTGCACTTGACCTCGAATGTTTGAGAGACTGAGATCGCTCTGACATCCTTGGTTTTGCCTTGATTCTCCAATGAAACAGCAATGGGCTTATAGGGTGCTTGACACCGGTCAGGCAAAACCGACTACAGTGCTGACTCCCTGCGCCATCGCTCAATCCTGGTCCCGGCTGAGCGTTTTGCCGAGCGCGCGCAGGAAGGTCTCGGGTTTTGTCCACTCAGGTGTCATGAGCATTTGCCGGTGGCAGTAGGCCCGCTACCTTTACGCGTGCAGAGGTGTAGGGATGCTGTGTATGTCAGTGGAATTCCGATGCGAGCCGGTGCCAGACGGAAGCCGGTGCCGAACTCGTAAAC